ATATATATATATATATATATATATATATATATATATATATATATATATATATATATATATATATATATAGACATATATATAAAAAAAAACATATTGCTACCTACGCCTTTCTTCTTTCCTACACCAAAAACTCTTTCTATGCTGGTTATATAAAACATTTTTTTTCATGGCATTCACCGAAAAAAAATCCTTTTCGTAGAACAACTACTGTGCCTTTATGCATTGTGACATTGTAAGTTAGTTATCAGTTTATAGTATGAATTTCTAACATTCTTGGAAAAAGAAAGAAAGCTTCAATTAACCAGAGCCTTAGGCCTAACTCTATTTTCAGGGAGCGCTCCCCCCCCCTCCCGCTCTCTCTCTCTCCCTCTCTCTCTCTCATTCTATCCATCTCTCCTCTCCATCTCCCTTTTCTCCATTTCAACTTCTTTCCATCCTTCCATCCCCCCTTCTTCCTCTATTCCCGTCCTCCTCTCTTCGTTCCTCTTCCATTCTGAAGGCCTTTCTAGCCCTTCCTCTTATTCTTCTTTTCCCTAACTCTTCATCCATCTGCTTCTGAAAGTCCTTCTAGTCCTTCTTCTTCCTCTCCCTCTCCTTCTCCCTCTTCCTCTCCCTCTTACCTCTCAATCCCATTCTTCCTCTTCCCTTTCCTCTCCCTCCCCATCTCCACCTCCCTCTTTCTTCATCCTTCTGCCGCTAAAAGACCCTCCCCCTAAATCTTACGCCTCGGTAGCTCTTCACCTTCTCTCACACATTTCTCGATACTTCTCCAATGAGGTCTTTCTCGTCGCCTATCGGGACTGTTTTTTAGGCGGATCAACGATATTTCTCCCGACTTCTATACAGTTTCTCCTCGCCCGCTCCATCTTGGGGTGTGCTTCGTCTTACTCTTTTCTTATTCCTAGTTCTTCTTTTATATCCTCTTACTTATTCCACTTCATCTCTTTTCGCTTTCTCTCTCTCTCTCACTCTCTCCTCCTTTCTCCACCTTGCCTCTCTTCCCTGCCCACCTACTCCGCCACATCACCATCGTCGTCACTACCACTATCATTCCGGTTGAGGACTTATTCTCCTCCTCCTCCTCTTCTCTTCTCTTCCTTCTTTCATTCTACCTTCCACCACCTCTCCCCCCCCCCCACTCTCTCTCTCCAGCCAATCGAACCCCGCGAGCCCCAGGCACCTCCGCGTAATTAAGACCTATTTTCTCCCTTATCACACTTTAGCAGCAAGCCTTAAGACCTTCGGCTCCTCGAAGGTCTAAGGCATCATACATAACCCATTTTCTCACGACAACGCAACAAAAACTCTTCTATATTAAAGGTATTTTTAGAAAGTCGTTTTTGTTGCAATGCCCTCCCTTTGGAAAAAAGAAAGTGAAAAAACTATCAAGATCCGAAAAATCAAGTTAAAGATGCCTTCATCAAGCAAAATCACGAGCATCAGGTGCAGTTGTTACGTATAAAATATCTGGGAGTTATTCTTCCTTGCCGTCTTTCTTTCCCTTGCCTTCGTTTTTCGTTCTTTCTTCCGTCATTTTTACCATTCCCTTCGCCGTCTTCGCACCCATCACCTGCTCAGATTTTTTTAAAGGAAAACTTTTTTTAACACAACCTCATCGCCCTCACCATTCCCCCGTGACCGTCGAGAACGCCTTCGCCCTTGAGACGTGCGATCCTCATTACCCTGGCCTACGTCACTCAAGCCCCCCCCCCCCTACCCACCCACATCCATCGCGTACCCATGCAGCCTTCTCCTTTAATGCAGCACGCTCGGGAGGCCCCACACCCATCTCCCCCCTCACCGTCACTCTTCCCCATGAATCTTAACTCTTTAAACCCCATTATTACTCTCTTATTAACCCTTACTACCCTTCTCCCCTCTTACTCTCTCACCCTTAACGATTCTCTTATTACGAGTCTTCCCATCCTGGACTCTTCCCCTTTGTCCCTAATCCCTGACGCCCCATTTCTGCTCTTACCAACATCGCCCGAGCCCTAATCCCAGCGGCTCGTCCCTCGCCCGGGCCCCTTCGTCACGTGACCAGGTAATGAGGCCGGCTCGAGTTTGGACCTTTTTCTACGATCAATTTGGAGCTGATTTCATTATTCCTCGTTAGATGCATTTACCGAGTTGAAAAATGCTAAAAACAGCTAGCTTTACTAGTTACTAAACAATGACCAAAAAGAGGCTTGAAAAAATAAAATATCTCGCCACTCGTTGTTCCACATTCAATTACAGTAAATAACATTTTTATATTCTCTTCTAAGAATTAAACGTCTATAATCATGTTATTCATGTGCGCAATAAGAGAATGAAGTTTCATTAGAACTATGGTCCTTTAAAACTATATTGAACTATGTTCCTTTAAAACTATATTGAACTATGTTCCTTTAAAACTATATTGAACTATATTCCTTTAAAACTATTCATATGTTTTTATACTGTAATTTGCAGGCTTGGTGAGTGTCTGCTGGCTGACCAAAGCAAACGGTTAAAAAAT